AGAGAGAGAGAGAGAGAGAGAGAGAGAGAGAGAGAGAGAGAGAGTCAGAGAGAGAGAGTCAGAGAGAGAGAGACAGAGAGAGAGAAAGAGGACAGACTGTGGGAGGGAGAGAGGGAGGGAGGGAAGAAAAACAGGTGAGAAAGAAAATAATTAAACTTTCTGAAGATCTCAGAAGTACAGCAACCATCAAGTGAGGCCCACAGTTTAATGTTCAAAAAATGATATTCATAATGAGAAGTTTGGAAATCATAATAACTGGACTCAAGTTCAAAGGTTCCTCCAAGTACTCTGCTTCCATTATCTGCAATACTTGACCTTCTGAATCATCTCTAATAGAAGACAGAGTTAGCAAGTCTGGTAGGACTGTATACCCACTGCCTTTGCCTTACAGGTATTTGCTTAGTTCCCATGACATGCACGTGCTATGGTCTGAATACACCCCCAAGGCTCATGTGTTGGGAACAATTTTCAAATCCATCTGTTCATGGCACTTTGAGAGGTCATTAGGATCACAGGAAGTCATGCAAGCAGGGTCCCCATCGTGGCATTAGTGCCTTTATGAGAGGAAGAGAGACGGGAGCTAGCGTGCTCGCTCTGTCTCCCCATGGATGCGCTCTGCTACATTACAAGGCAGCAAGGCTCTCAGCAGACACCGGGCAGATGCCAGCACCATGCTCCTGACTTTGCTGCCCAGATCTATAAGAAATTATTTTCTTTTTTTTATAAGTTACCTAGTCTCCAGTACTCAGTTACAGTAAGAGAAAATAAACTCATCAAGGCATTTACGTACAATTCTAGCAGCAGGCAGTTTATGAAAGAAACAACACTAGGAATCCTTTCTCTTACTACAGATATTAGTGTCCAAAAACAGGAAGGAAGTACACTGCCCCCCAGGTGGAATAATTCTGTAGAACCCCAGTCTGCCTACTCCTTCCCTTCCTCCTTAACTACCTCCCTCTGGTCTATGTATGGTCACTGTCCACTATCTACATGGATTTAAAAACAAAAATAAAAGGAAAAGCACCTTAACCCCTATGTAGATCATCCAAGCTATCAAGCAATGGTTCTCAGTTTTAAAGTCCACTTTTTCCAATTTGCTGCCAGAAATGAGCAAATAAATAAGTTTGGTACTTATAGTAAAATGACTACTTAAAAATTAAAATGGAAAAAGATTATAATCTGAATAAAATTAAATAAACTGTACTTTCTTTTTTATTTTTTTGTTTCATTTTGTTTCTTTGTTTTTGGTACTGGGGATTGAACTCGGGACCTTGCTTTTGCAAGGCAGGCACCAGAACCACTGAGCTAAATCCCCAGCCTTTAAACTGTACTTCCTATCTTCATTTTAAGTATTTTTGTAACAGAAACATGTAATCATATCCAGCTACAGTTCTAGTAATGGGGTAATTCACAGCCCGGTGCTGTCCATTAGAAAGAGTCTCTGGTACTGTACAAGCTGCTCAAAAACACCAGTACGACCCGGAGACAAGTTCTCCTGGGAAGCACAGTCCTCTCTGGCTCTGAGCACACACTGGTAGAGTCCTCACAAAACACAGCTCTGAGTCATAGAAAAATATTCTTGAGGAGTAAAAGCAAAAAGATTAATGATGTCCTTACAACACACAAGGCTTATTCCTAATAGAAAATCATCAATAACTGATAAAAGTGAGAGACCAAATTCCAGTCTGTAGTAGCAAAGGGAAAGCCTGGAGCCCCTGATTATAATATCGAGAAGATTCTCCCTCCTGTTACCTTGGCACTGGCCCATGTTGGAATGATCATTCTCTGGCCCCCCAGGAATCTGGGAAACCCGTTGCCAGTCAACACTATCTCTTGAACTTTGGATCATACCACATACATTTTCCAGTTCAAAATTGCAAGAGTCCATAAAACTCAAGGAAGAAGCTACAAAAGCAAAAAAGCAATTATTAACACTTATACAACATGATAATCTAAGTAATAAATCTGAGTTTATCATACAAGTCTGAGGAATGCCACGTTGGCATTAAAGGGGACACCTCGTTAGTCCCGGGAGATGGTGACCTGAAGACCTCTCTTTTACTTCCGAAGTCCTATCAAGAGATTGATTCGTTCTGTGGATATGAATAAGCTGCTTGCACCAAGACATTTTCTCTTCTAATTAATATATTTGTAGAAACTTGAATCCATGCTCCCCCTTTTATTCAAGTCATTAAGCCACAACCCCAATTTTTTGACCCCATTTACATTACAACTATACCTTAATTTAGCTGAAAGAGGTTTGACTATCAAACTGGTCCATATTTGATTTACAACAGCTCACAAACCTACCCAGGGCATATTCCTACAAGGTTTCAAGGTTTTTTTAGGACTACAAGGACAGACCTTGTGAGAAGAAAAATGCTGTATCCAAGTCACAGATTGGGATCTAGGTGCTATTCTTTTGGTTTTTTTCCTAAAAATCAAATTTCCATAATCTCAGAAAACCCAAAACAGCACAGACCATCATTTTTTGCAACATGGCAGAGTGAAACACAAGTCATTTCAAAGAACTTGTCACATACTGCAGTTGTACAGTCGATTCAACTTTAAGACATCAGTGTCACTGAGATCCAACCGTTGGCCAATCACATCCTCGAAGTCGGAGACTCTTGTTACAATTGTTGGCTCTGTTCCATTTTGGAATGCGTTTTTACTATAGTGCATTACAGACATGTAATCATAGGGAACATTCAGGGAATCTGATTCTGTGTCATCATGGATGTTAAAATTGTGCTCTCTGCCTAAATGATATAAAAAATCTTTAATTACCTGATATTCATAAAATTCAGCTCATCTTACTCTAAACACTGATAACTTAGAAAGGGAGAACATAATAAGCTACAGCAAAGTTTGCTAAAGTTGATCTACTATATTTCAAATGTTTCATACATTCCTGTCTTTGAATATAAAATTCATGCTAAAATCATGATTCCAACAGTCTATTAAACATATTTCAGATTCCATTAAAGCCCAGAGTTGGAATATAAGCATTTGTTCTAGAGCTCTAAAAACTACCAATATAAAGGTAAATCCTAAAAAGTGGTGATAAGACATTCAGGGTCAGTGACCATTGATGATGGAAGTTTGAGGACATTCACAGCAGATGGAGATGAAAGTAAAAGACTCTGGGAGTGCTGGTGAGATGGAATCTGGAGATTATAATATAGACAAGAGCCATTAGAAAGGATTGATGTAGTCAGGGATTACTGGGTCACTGGAATATACATGGATACGTTTACATCATGGAGACTATGGTTAATAACAATGTATTATATATTTCAAAATTGCTATGAGAATAATTTCAAATGTCTCCCCTAAAAATGTGAAGTGAGGTGAAAGATATGCTAATTAGTTTTAATCATCCACATTATGTACATATATCAAAACACCACTTTGTAGCCCACATACATATAATTATGATTTATTAATCACACATATTCATTTTTTAAAACTAAAATGAATACATTCAGATAAGATACTTGGCCAATTAGCACCATACTAATGGGCAACTGATTGCAATTTGAAAACAGATGATTTTATGGGTATAATAAATAAATAAATATGGGCCTGATTTCCAAATTCTAGAGATGGGAGCAGAAGTTTCTACCAAAAATTGGACTTGGAGAATCATAAAACTGGAGTCATACCTTAAAATTCAACACTTTGATTGCCCTAGAAATCTTTTGGCAGTTATGCAGCAATGTAACTAACTATAAGTTTGATTTGCTTTAACCTAGGATTTCTTAAACTAATTTGACCATACACATCTTCCCACTGGACATCCATGCATGCATGTGCAACAGCACATTTTGGGAAACACTAGGTTCTCAAATTATGAGAAGCTCAAAGGCACAGTCGTAGGTCTGGGATAGTAGCACTCCAACAACTTTAAGGGGCTTCAGTTTATGCTGAGTTAGAGGATAAATGAAGTAAGACAGCAAAACATTGAGAGTTGTTCAGTTATTAACAATTATTAATTGGTGCAAATGGCAAGAGGGGACAAGTACTTACAAATTCAGTCTTTTTAACTAAAAATAATTTTTTAAAAACCAAGAGAACTATACCTGACAGGATTCTGTCCCAAACTATCCTGACATAGTCATCCCGATCAAAACGCGATTGCTCGTGCCAGAATCCCAGTGCATGGAGGAACTCGTGTTGCACCGTTGCTATTCTGTCACAGTTTGCACCGATGGAGAGCTCTTGCCTGCCAATGTGCCTGTTTCCTACGTAAGACCAGCACCTTGAGGAGGTTTGTGGAAAAGAGGAAGAGGGTGTTACAGTAGTGAACATCCTCACTGCATTGTTCATGTCAGAGCCCAACTAGACCCTTGCCCACACCTGGACACTGCACTTCTCTCCTAGCCCAGCTGAGGCAAGGAAAACCTTGCAGAGCAGGTGATCTTTGGAGAACTTGCCCTAACACCACACTGCATAGGAATAAGTCCTCCCCTAGTCAGCCTCCTCCTGGTTTTCCTTGGGCATTTTGAAGTCTTTGAGATCTTCCTCAATCTGCCTCTGCCCACTAAAATATTCTTATGGCTAAGAAAAACTATATCTAGCTACCTTACTCAGCAACAAAGAGAAAAGAAAGCTGTGGCCCCATCCTAAAGGCCAGGGCCTTGGGAAGCTTCTGTGATATAATTTCCCAGACACAGCAGTCTCCTGAGAACTCTTAGAAGACCACCCCTTCCCTGTAATCTCAGCACTCTGGGAGGCTGAGGCAGGAGGATGACAAGGTCAAGCCCAGTCTAGGCAACTTACCAAGCTACTGAGACCCTGACACACAGAAAGGGCAGGGGGTGGAGTGATGGCTGGAGAATGTAGCTTAGTGTGAAGACCCTGGGTTCAATACCCCATATCCCCCCCCACACACACACACACACGAAGAAGAGGAGAGGAAGGAGAAGGGGAAGGGGAAGGGGAAGGAGAAGGGGAAGAGGAAGAGGTAGTGGAAGAAGAAGAGGAGGAGGAGGAGAGGGAAGGAGGGAAAAGGGGAGGGGAGGGTGAGGGGAGGGGAAGAAGGTGACTAATCCTTTCTTATGGTTTAGATCTAGAATGTCCCTCAAAAGCCTCATGTTCAGAGGTGGGGCTTTTGGAAGGTGATTGGATCATGAGGTCGCTGTATCCATCATCCACAGCCAAATCTGCAGTTAGGAGGTGGGATCTGGTTGGAACAGGCAGGTCATTGGGTCCTGGAAGGGTATATTTTTGTCCACAGTGCCCGCCTGCACTCTTTCCGCTTCCTGGCTGCCATGGCTCCTCCACCTGAGTCCTTCCACCATGCTCCTTCTACCTTGGGACCAGCCAAGCATGGGCTGAAATGTGAGGCAAAATAAAGCCTTTCCCCTTCCATATGTGGGTGTGGGGTTGCGCCTCAGTGATGGGAGAGTGACTGAGATACTCTTGCACTTACCCACTTTCCTTGAACACTGATATATAGTTAGCTTCTCCAGCCCAAGGCTTGAAGTCAATGCATGTTTTTAGGCGATAACGTTCAAATGCATTGAGGATAACTCCTTTGGCATTTATTTCTAAGAGAAAAGAACAAAATACACTTACTAAAAAATCACCACTGGCCAATTCACCGAAATACAGGACATGCACTATATTGCTTATCACAAGTTAGTCCCTTCATGAATGTTTAATATAGTTTTATAAAATTTAGTAGCCAATACCAATCAAGTATTTGCACCCAGGCGTGGTGGTGCATGATTCTATTCCCAGCACTCTGATAGACTGAGGCAGGAAGACTGCATATTTGGACCCCACCTGGACAACATAGCAAGACCTTGTCTCAAAAGAAAAAAGAAAAAAAGGGCCAGGGACATAGCTCAGTGTGAAAGCCTGGGGTTCAATACCCAGTACTGCCAGAGGATGGGTGGGGAGTACTTCATTATTCCTCTGATCTCTTCTTTTGCCTCACATTCCTCTGAACCAGTGCACTACTGAACAATAAAAAGGGCATTTCTTTACCTCACAAAATATAAATGGTGGGTCACAGACAATCAAAATGAACAGTCATGGTCACATGCTTTATCCGAGAAGCTCCCATATGTAGTTAAAGCCTCACAGCAGGGCTTTTAATCTGAGGAGGTTGAAATGAGAGGACCCACAGATACCATGAAATGACATGCAAAGAAAATACATCTATCTATACCTCCAAAGTATATTTTTTAGAGAGAGCACTTGCTCAGAACCAAGATAGAATTAAGAATCATTGCTTTGGAGATAAAAAATGATGCTAACAGGTTGAATAGATATAGACCTCAAAGAAAGCAGAGGCTTAAGAAAACTACACTTTCCTATATTTTTAAAGAAAAAAAAAAGATTGGAAGGTAAGCTGAAAGAAGAAGCTGTAGCAGATGCTCAGGGAGAGATTGTCACAGATGAGATCAGAGACCAAAGAAGTGAAGGATGGTGATGGTCTGCCAGGAGGTGGAGACCTCAGGGCAGAGTGGGAATGCTTGGACTTTGGAGCCATGCACATTTCTCACCTTACTTTTGACCAAAACCTTTGCCAATTTAATTAATCTTTATAGCTGTGGTGTTATCATCAGTTAAGTGAGAGAATAAAATCAAGGGCATATTGTGAGAATAAGATAAGAAGGTAAAGCAAAGCTCCAAGTCAAAAGTCCATTTCTTCCCTCCTTTGGTATAGGGAAGGAGACATTGCCAAAACCACGGCAGTGGGTTCTGGCCTCCTGTGAGCCACCACAGCACAAGGTGAATTAAAGAAAAAAGACAGAAGGGCCTGACATTTACCTCAGCGCCATTGCACCTGTCTCGCAAGCACAATGTCCTGAGTTCAATCTCCAGTACCAAAAAAAATAAATAAATAAAATAAAGACAGGAAACTAGACTTATAGAGAAGCTGGGTCTTCAGACCTGATCAGTGCTGCTCTAGGCAACAAAGACAAAAGCCCCCAAGCACATCCAGTATTTATTGAATACAATTGTGGGAAGGAGGGAGTGGGGTATGCTTTGAAGGCATCTAGTGAAATACTGCCAAACACCTGGCATTATGGCACCAGGCAGGGCTGTTAGGAAGTAAGCATTGCTTATCTTGCCTAGATAGAACAAACAGGTACTAGCGCTGGGTGCAATTAGCAAGCAATCCATCGGGTCAGTGAGAAGCCATAATTTAGGGGAAAGGGTTTTAATTGGGTCACACTGGCCTGAACTGCACATAACTCAGCAGAGCCCTGCCACTTCACAGACCAGGGCCTAGGTTTCTGAGGCAGCCATTGAGGGAGGGGCTATGCTTGCCCAGTCCACCACTTGTGGCCATTTGAGTCATTTAGTGCTTCGGTCTGACCCCTAACATGAAACAATATAGCCAAATTATGGAAGGCAAGAAGCACACACCACTCATAGCCCAATAGTACTGGGCAGGGATGTCTGCTACACTTTGGTGAGCACCCATTGCATAAGCATTGGAGGAAGATGACACGGATGCCTCTATCCTGGCAGGACTGAAAAGAAGAACTCGATTTTCATCAGGAAGGCCCCCAAACCCATGGATCATGAGAACCACTCAAAGTTCAACCTGTTACAATACCACACAAATAATGCATGCTCTGTATATATCTTAGAAACAGGCATATAAACAAAAAGGAGGAAATTTTAAAATCTAATCACTGAAGAATATTCAATCACCCTTACCATATGTTTTACTTCTGAATATACATAGACATATATATTTATAAAAGTGAACTCACAGTCTTCCTATTTTATAAACTGTTTTTACTAAATAATATACCATTAAAATCTTCTCCAAGCACAGAGGAGGAGGTTTCCAGGCCACCATACCACCTCTCTCCACGCAGAGGAAGAGGCTTCTGGGCTGCCATGCCACTGATCCCAGTGCAGAGGAGGTGAGCCACGTGTGCACCAGCAGCACACACACACACACACTGCTGAAATGAGAAAACATGTAAACAAGTCTCAAAACCAGACTTCCAGATCACATACAGCAACCCCAAAGGGAAACGAGATAGAACAATCTGATACTCAACCACCTGGACTCCCTGAATTGGAAACAAAAGAGGATCTGGAAAAAATGAAATCAGAAATAATTTCTCAGATAACAGCAGAGATTGTGCTCATAGTGCAAGACATGATTAACAAATCTAGAGAGGAGCTAAGGAACATGATGGAATCCCAACATAAGAAACAAATGGAATCCATAAAACAGATCCAAACAGATTTCCAAGACATTAAAAACTCCATTGAAAGTCCACACAGCAGAATGAGCCAATGTGAGGACAGAATTTCAGATAGAGAAGATAAAATTGCAATTAGTGACCACGAAAAGAAAAATTGCTTTAAAATTGTAAGAGACCACAACAAATCAATCCAGCAGCTGCTAGATGATGCAAAGAAGAATAACATAAGACTGATTGGAGTCAATGAAGAAATAAGAGAGAGTGCAGATAACATAAAAAACTGTTCACAGAAGTAATAGCAGAAAACTTCCCAAGCAGGAGAAAAGAACTTGACATACAGATAAGTGAGGCATATAGGACTCCAACTAGCCTTCATCAAAATATTTAAACATAGGCATATAACAGTTAGGACTCCAGAAACCCAACAGAAGAACAAAGTTCTACAAGCACTTAGAGAAAAAAAAACAAATCACATACAAAGGAAAGCCCATCAGAATCACAGCAGACTTCTCAGCACAAACCCTCAAGTCAAGAAGAGCTTGGAGTGATGTATTCCAAGCCCTAAGGAAAACAGCCTCCAACTCAGATTGATGTACCCTGCAAAACTACCTTTCAAAATTGATGGAGAAATAAGATACTTTCATTTCAAAGAGCACCTTAGGAACTTCATGAATATCAAACCAGCACTCTAAAAACTTTTCAACAATATCCTAGGAAAAAACAACAGGATCACAACCCCAGGAAGCACAGAAGAATGAATCCATCAGGCATGACAAGAAATTAAAAGTAAAGGGGGAGAATCCAACAAAAAGAAAAAGTCATGACAATGATAAGTCAGTACCTATCAGTTATAACTATCGATGTTAATTGTCTCAATTCACCGATCAAAAGAAATAAATTGGCAGAATGGATCAAGAAGCAAGATCCAACAATATGCTGCATACAAGAGACACTCTTAACTCAAAAAGAAACTCATAGACTGAAAGTTAAAGGGTGGAAAACAATACTCAATGCGACAGGAACCTGAAAAAAATCATGAGTAGCTATCCTATTTGCAGATCAAGTGGATTTCAAACCAACACTGATTCAGAGAGACAAAGAAGGACACTACATCCTTGTAAAGGGAACAATCCAAGAGGAAGAGAAGACAATCATAAATATATGTGCACCAAACACTAGTATACCCAACTATATAAAACAAATGCTAACAGACATGGAAAGTCATATATGCACTAATACAATAGTAGTGGGGGACCTCATACCCCACTATCACAAATAGATAGATCAACTAGACAAAAAATAAGTAATGAAATATTAGAACACAATCAAAATCTTGAACAAATGAACTTAACAGATGTTTACAGAGT